CGGGCCAGATGTGACTAGAACCCTCTAGTAATGGGTAAATTTTCCAAAAAATTTATTCCGTAAATTGGGGGGTTGAAGAGGAATAAATGGTAACCCTTCATACACCCCGCAGTTCAGTTCCCAGTTTTAGGGAATTTTTTAAAAACGTCAACCCCCCCCTTTTGTCCAAGTCCTGGGTTGAAAATGGAAATATAAAAAGGGAAAAATCCCTTTCAGTAAAACAGGGGGCCGGGGTAAAAAGGAAAATTTTAGGTAGAAATTTTAAAAGAGTTTTGGGGGGTTTAAAGTTGCCTGGATGGGGGGATTACTAAAAGTCTCGCCCCATTACCCATTTTTAAAACCAAAAACCCCCGGGCCCGGTGTCACCCTTAACCCGGGGGTTTTTAAAAAAAAACCCCCAACCATTTTCTCATTAAAATTTTAAAATTTTGGATATGTGTTTCGTTAACTGGAAGTAGAATTTTCTACCCTGAACTAACCTTCACGTCAACAAATAACACCACAACTCCCGGGTCATACCCCAATATTTTAAAAAACAACACCACCACCACATATCCCAAAACATCCACTTTTTTCTCAAAAAGAAATTTATACTAAAAAAATATAACTACTACCAGTTACTCCCATCTCCCCCCCACCCACACACAATACCCCCCCAAAAAACCCCCCACACTACCACCACCCACAACCCCACCACCAAATACCCTATAAAAATCCATTCCCCCGTTTCCCTTTCCCAAAAACATACCAAAAAGAAAACACTACACCCCCAACCCCACAACTACCACCACACTACCCACCACCCCCAAATCCCACCACACACCACCAAAAAACTCCCAAATAAAAACTACAACCAAAGTTACCAACCACATTCCCACCCAAACAAACAACAATAAACCGTACCCCACTCCACCAAAAGAACCACACCAAAATTCAAAATCTTAAACCAATCACCCCCCAAGAAAATTTCCCCCCCCTTCCAAAACTAACTCTTAAACCCAAAAACCCTTTATCAAAGGGAAAAATCAAAGGTCCCATGGGTTAAAAATAAAAACAAAAAGGGGGAAAAAGAAAACCCCCCATTTTAAATTTTTTAGGGGTTTTTAACGGGAAGGGATTGTTGGAAAAAAAAAAGAAAAGAGAGGTTTTTAAAAATAAAAGTTGGAGGGGAGAGGAAAAAAGGAATAATGGGAAAGGAAAAAGGAAGGTAGGGGGGGGATGAGGAAAGGGGGGAAATTTAAAAAGAGGGGATAGAAAAGGGAGGAGGGGGAAAAAGGGGAAAAAGGGAAGGGGGAAAAAAAAGAAGGAAAAGAAGGGAAGAGAAAAGAAGGAGAGGAGAGGGAGAGAAAGGAAGAGAAAAAAGAAAGGAAGAAGGAGAGAGAGGAGGGAAAAAGGAGAAGTGAAGAAAGAGAGGAGAAGAGAGAAGGAAAGGGGAGGGAAAAGAGAGGAGGAAAGGAGAAAAGGAAAGGAAGAGAGAGAAGAGAGAGGAGAGAGGGGAAAAAAGAAGGAGAGAGAGAGAGAGAGAGAGAGAAAAGAGAAGAGAGAAAAGAGGGGACAGAGACAGAAGAGAGAGAGAGAGAGGAGAGAGAGAGAGAAGAAAAAGAGAGAGAGAGAAGAGAAAGAGAAAGGAGAGGAGGAGAGAGAGAGAGAAAGAGGAGAGAGAGAGAAAGAGGAGAGAGAGAGAGGAGAGAGAGAGAGGAGGGAGAGAGAGAGAGAGAGAGAGAGAGGGGGAGAGAGAGAAAAGAGAAGAAAGAGAGGGGAGAGAAAGAGAGAGGAGAGGAGAGGGGAGGAGAGAGAGAGAGAGAAGAAGAGAGAGAGAGAGAAGAGAGAAAGAAAGAGAGAAAAAGGGAGAGGGGGAGAGAGAGGTGGAGGAGGGGAGAGAAGAGAGAAGAAGAGAGGAGAGAAAAAAAGAGAGAAGAGAAGAGAGAAAAGGAGAGAAAAGAGAGAGAGAGGAGGAGAGAGAAGAAGAGAAGAAGGAGAGAGAGAGAAGAGAGAGAGAAGAGGGGAAAAGGAGAAGAGAGAGAGAGAGAGAGAGAGACAGAAAAGGGGAGAGAGGAGACGAGAGACAGAGAAGAGAGAGAGAGGGGAGAGAGAGAGGAGAGAGAGAGAGACGGAGAAGGGAGAAGAGAAAAGAGAAGAGAGAAGAGAGAAAGGAGAGAAAAGAGGAGAGAGAAGGAGAAGAGAGAGAGAGAGAAAAGAAGAAGAGAGAGAGGAGAGGGGGAGGGAAGGAGAAGAGGAGAAAAGAAGTGAGAGAGGGAGAAAAGAGAGAAAGAGAGAGGAAAGGGGAGAGAGAGAGAGAGAGAAGAAGAGAGAGAGAGAGGAAGGACAGAAGAAGAAAAGAGAGAGAAGAGAAAAGGGACGAAAAAGGAGAGAGAGGGAGAGAGAGAGAGAGGAGAGAGAGAGGGGAGAGGAGAGGGGGAGAGAGGGAGAGAGAGGGAGAAGAGAAAGAGGAGGAGAAAGAGAGAGAGGAGAGAGAGAGAGAGAGAGAGGAGGAGGAGAGAGAGAGAGAGAGAGAGGAGGAGAGGAGAGAGAGAGGAGGAAAAAAAGGAAAAGAGAAGGAGAGAAAGAGAGAGAGAGAGAGAGAGAGAACAGCAGAGGAGAGAGAGGACAGAGAGAGGGAGAGAGAGAGAGAACAGACGAGAGAGAGAGAGACAGAGAGAACGACAGAAAAGGAGAGAAGGAGAGAGAGAGGAGAAGAAGAAGAGGAGAAGAGAGAAGAGAGAGAGAGAGAGAGAGAGGAGAGAAAAGGGAGAGAGAGAAAGAGAGAGAGAGAAAAGGAGAGGAGAGAAGACAGACAGAGAGGAGAGAGACGAGAGACGAACAAGAGAGAGAAGAAGAGAGAGAGAGAGAAGAGAGAGAGAGAGAGGAGAGAGAGAGAGAGAGAGAGAGAGGAGAGAGAGAAAAGAGAAAGAGAAAAGAGAAAAGAGAGGAGGAGAGAGAGGAAAGAGAGGGGAAAAGAGAGAGAGAGAGAGAGAGAGGAGAGAGAGAGGAGGAGAGACAGACGACAGAAGACAGACAGACAGAAAGAGAGAGAGAGAGAGAGAGAGAGAAAAGGGAGTATCCCCTGGGAGAGTTCCAGTGGCAACCCCCCCCGCGGCCGGGTCTGTGACCAGGTCTCATGGTGAAGGACCTGATAAACCAGGTGTTACTGCTGGAGGAAAACAAATAGAGATAAAGGAAAGAGGTAATGAAAAAAGGGAAAAGCGATCAGACAGTATGTTTCTTTATCATACATAAGTATTAAGTGCCTTCACAAAAATAATGATAACCCCGTTTTTTTAAATATACTCCAGGTATACACTTAAGGAAAGTATACTTCCCCATCAACACCATAATTCCCCAAGGGGTTTAATGATTCCCGGGCCCCGCTGGCGGGGGGATTCCTCTGTAAAAACTTCATTTGTGGTCACAGTGGTGGCCTTTTAACCTTCCCAAGGTGTTAACTATAACTAGTTAGTAAAACTTGTAGCTAGCTGGCCCCGTGGGTAGCCGTCGGTTTTTTAGTTTCTGACTTGACCCCGGTTTATTCCACCCGTGGTATGGTGTTTTTCAATCTGTCCACGACTTCGTCGTCATCAAGAAGTAAAATATAAAGGTTTTGGTGAAGTGAGTTAACATGACAGGGGATCAGATCACAGTATGTTAATTAAGAGAACCATTATTTTTGGTAAAATAACCCAGAGTTTCCCTACCCCCGGGGCCCGGCCATGGGCCAGGCTCGTCTGGTGCTTTCCCGGCCCAAATTTGGGTCATAAAATGTGAGTTTTGACGTCTGGGCGATGTTGTGTTGGAAATGGATAAGTACCCACTGTGCACACGGTAGGATTCTTCAGTCAAATACAAAGGAGAAAAATTTTAGGGGGGCAGTCCCTAACCTGGAGACGATTCTGCCGAGGTGGTCAGTCCTTAACCCGGAGACGAGTTCTGCCGGGTTGGTCAGTCCCCTTAAACCCGGAGCAGTTTTGCCGAGGGGGTATCCCCCTTACCCCGGGGAGGTTCTCCGAGGTGGTCATCCCTTAACCCGGAGACGGGTTTTTTGCCCAGGGGCATCCCCCTTAACCTGGAAGAGTTCTGCCAGGTGGGGATCCCTTAACCTGGAGCGAGTTTTTTTCCGGGTGGTCAGTCCCAACCTGGAGCGAGTTCTGCGAGGTGGTCAGCCCTTTACCCGGAAGGTTTGCCCCGGGGGGGTCAGTCCTTAATGAGACAGTTTGTCGAGGTGGTCTTTTCTTACTGGGGGAAAGAGTTCTTCCGAGGTGGTCATCCCTTAGCCCCGGAGACGAGTTCTGTCGGGGGGGCAGCCCCTTTGCCTGGAGACAGTTCTGTCGAGGGGGTCAGTCTTTAGTGGGAGAGTTTTGCCCAGGTGGTCATTCTTACCTGGGACGAGTTTGCCGAGGTGGTAGTCCCCTTAGCCTGGGACGAGTTCTGCGAGGGGGCAGTCCCCTTTGCCTGGAGACGATCTGGGGGGTCAGTCTCTTAGCCTGGGGACGATTCTGCGGGTGGTCAGTCCCTCAGCCGGAAAAAGCTGGATCGTTCCAGGGGTCAGGGGGCTGAAACCTCAAATACTTTTTCTCCAGGTTGACGGATGATTACATCTTTATTTCATTCAATGTACCTCAATATTTTACTGAAGACCCCCTGTGTAGTGGGCCCGTAAAAGTAGATTAAGGAGGGTGGGACATAGAGTGACTTTTCACCTCTAGAAATGGCGTTGGTTTTTTTGTCTGGTACATGAGTGTAGACATGATGGGTGGTCCTTACCCGTGAAACATGATTAGAAAAGACTGGCTGGTCCCTTTCCTTGATAAAATGACTGTAACATAACTGGCTGGTCCTTACCTGTGATAACATGACTGTAGGCATAACTGGTTGGTCCTTACCTGTGATAACATGACTGTAGGCATGACTGGTTGGTCCTTACCTGTGATAACATGACTGTAGGCATGACTGGCTGGTCCTTACCTGTGATAACATGACTGTAGACATGACTGGCTGGTCCTTACCTGTGATAACATGACTGTAGACATAACTGGCTGGTCCTGGCTGGTCTTGACCAATCCCTGGCTGGGCTGCACCGGACAATAGCTATCATCTTCCACACACTTCCTCCTTTCTACAGTGATTTTAGCTTTCATAGTGGGAGAGAGCTGGTCCACTTTCTCTCTACTTCCCACCTTAATCTCTTCCTCGTTACCATTTTTATCTAAAGTCTTCTCGTTATTGTTATTGTATTTATCTAAAATAACGAAGTTAGTGCTCTTGTCTCTCACAGAGCTGCGCTCTCTCTCACACGTCCCGTTTTCTATGACACTAGAGCCATCACTCACATATTTATCCCATGAATTGGATACGAAACCAAAGACAGAGGTGCTGTATGCATCGTGGGCGGTGTGGAGGGAAAGGTGGGCGTGGGGTGTGCGGCGTGGGCGGTGTACTGGCTCTAGCGGGCGTGGGAGGTTGTGGGCGCGGGATGGGTGACACACGCACGCCAGCATAGTCACATTACAAAATAGGTATAAAAGTGATCCACTTGACGGCCATGTATACTACACCCCTGCAAAGGTGGGGACAAGTACAGACGTTAAACCCACTTAAATCACCCATGTATACAACCCCTGCAAAGGTGGGGACAAGTACTGACGTTAAACCCACTTAAATCACCCATGTATACAACCCTGCAAAGGTGGGGACAAGTACTGACGTTAAACCCACTTAAATCACCCATGTATACAACCCCTGCAAAGGTGGGGACAAGTACTGACGTTAAACCCACTTAAATCACTCATGTATACAACCCCTGCAAAGGTGGGGACAAGTACTGACGTTAAACCCACTTAAATCACCCATGTATACAACCCCTGCAAAGGTGGGGACAAGTACTGACGTTAAACCCACTTAAATCACCCATGTATACAACCCCTGCAAAGGTGGGGGCAAGTACTGACGTTAAACCCACTTAAATCACCCATGTATACAACCCCTGCAAAGGTGGGGACAAGTACTGACGTTAAACCCACTTAAATCACCCATGTATACAACCCCTGCAAAGGTGGGGACAAGTACTGACGTTAAACCCACTTAAATCACCCATGTATACAACCCCTGCAAAGGCGGGGACAAGTACTGACGTTAAACCCACTTAAATCACCCATGTATACAACCCTGCAAAGGCGGGGACAAGTACTGACGTTAAACCCACTTAAATCACCATGTATACAACCCCTGCAAAGGCGGGGACAAGTACTGACGTTAAACCCACTTAAATCACCCATGTATACAACCCCTGCAAAGGTGGGGACAAGTACTGACTTTTAAACCCACTTAAATCACCCATGTATACAACCCCTGCAAAGGTGGGGACAAGTACAGACGTTAAACCCACTTAAATCACCCATGTATACAACCCCTGCAAAGGTGGGGACAAGTACTGACGTTAAACCCACTTAAATCACCCATGTATACAACCCCTGCAAAGGTGGGGACAAGTACTGACGTTAAACCCACTTAAATCACCATGTATACAACCCCTGCAAAGGTGGGGACAAGTACTGACGTTAAACCCACTTAAATCACCCATGTATACAACCCCTGCAAAGGTGGGGACAAGTACTGACGTTAAACCCACTTAAATCACCCATGTATACAACCCCTGCAAAGGTGGGGACAAGTACTGACGTTAAACCCACTTAAATCACTCATGTATACAACCCCTGCAAAGGTGGGGACAAGTACTGACGTTAAACCCACTTAAATCACCCATGTATACAACCCCTGCAAAGGTGGGGACAAGTACTGACGTTAAACCCACTTAAATCACCCATGTATACAACCCCTGCAAAGGTGGGGACAAGTACTGACGTTAAACCCACTTAAATCACCCATGTATACAACCCCTGCAAAGGTGGGGACAAGTACTGACGTTAAACCCACTTAAATCACCCATGTATACAACCCTGCAAAGGTGGGGACAAGTACTGACGTTAAACCCACTTAAATCACCCATGTATACAACCCCTGCAAAGGCGGGGACAAGTACTGACGTTAAACCCACTTAAATCACCCATGTATACAACCCCTGCAAAGGCGGGGACAAGTACTGACGTTAAACCCACTTAAATCACCCATGTATACAACCCCTGCAAAGGCGGGGACAAGTACTGACGTTAAACCCACTTAAATCACCATGTATACAACCCCTGCAAAGGTGGGGACAAGTACTGACGTTAAACCCACTTAAATCACCCATGTATACAACCCCTGCAAAGGTGGGGACAAGTACAGACGTTAAACCCACTTAAATCACCCATGTATACAACCCCTGCAAAGGTGGGGACAAGTACTGACGTTAAACCCACTTAAATCACCCATGTATACAACCCCTGCAAAGGTGGGGACAAGTACTGACGTTAAACCCACTTAAATCACCCATGTATACAACCCCTGCAAAGGTGGGGACAAGTACTGACGTTAAACCCACATAAATCACCCATGTATACAACCCCTGCAAAGGTGGGGACAAGTACTGACGTTAAACCCACTTAAATCACCCATGTATACAACCCTGCAAAGGTGGGGACAAGTACTGACGTTTAACCCACTTAAATCACCCATGTATACAACCCCTGCAAAGGTGGGGACAAGTACAGACGTTAAACCCACTTAAATCACCCATGTATACAACCCCTGCAAAGGTGGGGACAAGTACAGACGTTAAACCCACTTAAATCACCCATGTATACAACCCCTGCAAACGTGGGGACAAGTACAGACGTTAAACCCACTTAAATCACCCATGTATACAACCCCTGCAAAGGTGGGGACAAGTACTGACGTTAAACCCACTTAAAACACCCATGTATACAACCCCTGCAAAGGTGGGGACAAGTACAGACGTTAAACCCACTTAAATCACCCATGTATACAACCCCTGCAAAGGTGGGGACAAGTACAGACGTTAAACCCACTTAAATCACCCATGTATACAACCCTGCAAAGGTGGGGACAAGTACAGACGTTAAACCCACTTAAATCACCCATGTATACAACCCCTGCAAAGGTGGGGACAAGTACTGACGTTAAACCCACTTAAATCACCCATGTATACAACCCCTGCAAAGGTGGGGACAAGTACTGACGTTAAACCCACTTAAATCACCCATGTATACAACCCCTGCAAAGGTGGGGACAAGTACTGACGTTAAACCCACTTAAATCACCCATGTATACAACCCCTGCAAAGGTGGGGACAAGTACTGACGTTAAACCCACTTAAATCACCCATGTATACAACCCCTGCAAAGGTGGGGACAAGTACAGACGTTAAACCCACTTAAATCACCCATGTATACAACCCCTGCAAAGGTGGGGACAAGTACAGACGTTAAACACACTTAAATCACCCATGTATACAACCCCTGCAAAGGTGGAGACAAGTACAGACGTTAAACCCACTTAAATCACCCATGTATACTACCCCTGCAAAGGTGGGGACAAGTACAGACGTTAAACTCACTTAAATCACCCATGTATACAACCCCTGCAAAGGTGGGGACAAGTACAGACGTTAAACCCACTTAAATCACCCATGTATACAACCCCTGCAAAGGTGGAGACAAGTACAGACGTTAAACCCACTTATATCACCCATGTATACAACCCCTGCAAAGGTGGGGACAAGTACAGACGTTAAACCCACTTAAATCACCCATGTATACAACCCCTGCAAAGGCGGGGACAAGTACAGACGTTAAACCCACTTAAAACACCCATGTATACAACCCCTGCAAAGGTGGGGACAAGTACAGACGTTAAACCCACTTAAATCACCCATGTATACAACCCCTGCAAAGGTGGGGACAAGTACAGACGTTAAACTCACTTAAATCACCCATGTATACAACCCCTGCAAAGGTGGGGACAAGTACAGACGTTAAACGCACTTAAATCACCCATGTATACAACCCCTGCAAAGGTGGGGACAAGTACTGACGTTAAACCCACTTAAATCACCCATGTATACAACCCCTGCAAAGGTGGGGACAAGTACTGACGTTAAACCCACTTAAATCACCCATGTATACAACCCCTGCAAAGGTGGGGACAAGTACTGACGTTAAACCCACTTAAATCACCCATGTATACAACCCCTGCAAAGGTGGGGACAAGTACTGACGTTAAACCCACTTAAATCACCCATGTATACAACCCCTGCAAAGGTGGGGACAAGTACTACGCATCCACAGAGTTGTTAAGCTTATACGCTTGTTGTAAATGATCCCAAGTGCAAGCAAGACTTAATAATAATAATAATAATAATAATAATAATAATAATAATAATAATAATAATAATAATAATCTATATTTCTACACGATACAACTTATACAGACCATAGCTCACAACAATGACATACAAAATAGACAGCCCCTGGGTATGGAGAAGGTTCTCCAGATGCTATTTTGGAGCCAGAATCCACACCAGTAACTAGTACAGATTATTATAATGATAACTAAGCGCTAAACCTACAAGGGTGATACTTACTGGAGGCTTTTCGATACTTACTGGAGGCTTTTCAAGTATAAAAGCCAGATTTTTGTATGTGTTAAATTTACACATACACACACACACACACACACACACACACACAACACACACACACACACACACACACACACACACACACAGGGACCAGCGGAGGCGGGGTAAGGAGCTGTGACTCGACCCCTGCAACCACAAATAGGTGAGTACACACAAAACAGTGCAGCTTTCATACGATCAAAATGTGACGGGGAGGAAGTTGAGGAGTGCGAATGTTGCAGGTGAATGTTGTATGTCTGGTGTGCAGCGTGAACGTCTGCAAGAACCTTGTTTTTGCGGGGGATGACGTAAAGGATGACGTCAAGGATGACGTAGGGAAAGGTAGGTTTACCGAATGAGGTCAAAAAAAAACACCTGAGAATGTATTTCCCATCTTCTAATTATGTGCGAGAGAGAGAGGGGGAGAGAGAGAGAGAGGAGAGAGAGAGAGAGAGAGAGAGAGAGAGAGAGGGGGAGAGAGAGAGAGAAAAGGGGTGTGCTAGCACAAAGACACAGGTCGAGTAGGAAACATCAGGTTAATTTAAATAATTTAGCCAGAGAAAAGAGGGGTTTTTTCCCTTTCCCCAAAAAAATAATGCATTATCAAAGAAAACATGGTTGGTGAGGCGTGTCATCCCCCTATCCACCCTCTCTCTCTCTCTCCTCTCTCTCTCTCCCTCTCTCTCTCTCTCTCTCTCTCTCTCTCTCTCTTCCGTTGTATTCCCTAAACCTATCTGGGGTTGAGAGATCGAGTCACAGCCCGGGCCCGCCTTTCACTGGTCGCTATAGACCCTCTTCCCTGCTTACGAACTTTATCATCCCTCTCCTTAAAGTATGTATGGACCCTGCCCCCCACACACCCTCTTAGGTTGTTCCATTCCCGGGGCGTTTTGCACACCACCCTTTGATCGCAAGGCTGTGTGCCCCACAGCCTGGCTGACGAGGCCAACGACGGAGACGACCTACCTCCCGGTT